AGTGTAACCCATCTGAATTTTGAGACCATTATTATGATTATTTATTATTACGGTGTTCATTATATTACGCTTATTTGTAATGTTTACTCATTGGAATATAGGAAAGGTGATAACCTCGCTGAATCTTCGACTGGCCAGAAACGGATTCGGATAAGCAGCGAGAAGCGCTCGCCTCTGTCCATCTTGCATACGACAAATCACTGCCAACATTTTATTCCACCAATCGCGAACCAATTCATCAGGTGGTGCATCTTTAATCCCCTGAACACCAACTAGGCGATTGAGAGTAAAAAAAATACATAACGTAATAAGTCTAGGGAAAGGTCAGTATCCGAGAGCCAGAGCACTCTTCCAATAATTAATCTACAGCTTGGGAAATAGTGAATAATTGGAAATAATTGCAATAAAACGCACCTTTTCCACATCTACGACAAGTCAGATCTTGACTTGTAAAGCAGCGTCCATTTTCTTAATGCCACGCCGCGGATTGAGCAGAGAATAAAACGGCGAAACTCCTGCGCACCGTGCGACCGATATGCAGCTGAGTTCGGTAACAATCGAAAAGCTCGATAGAAAACTCGAACATCTAGAATGAGACAGGACATTTGAAAGAGGTGATGACTACCGTGAATAGAAAAGTCTCTAAAACAGTAATGAAACCCAACCTGGCGAGAATCCTTTCCAAAAACTATGAGTATCAGTGTCGAATTCGCAACGGGATAAGATAACTTCTGTGTGGCGACGAAATCTTCCATGCTGTTACTACGTACAAGTTCTTTGAGCGAATCGCAAGACAAAACCACCGCAAATAAATGTTGTGGAGTCTATAAGGCCATCAATAAGGCAAGCCCTAAGAAACGCTGCATGATCAATGACTTTGAAAACCCACGAAATATTCTCGTTTCTCTACCGTTCCATCATTTTCGACGGCTTCAATGCACTTGCGATTCCACAGTACCCGCATATCAGGACGCTCTTCGTCACAAATCAACTGCTCATGGATGTTCCTCTCCGCGAAGAGCATACGAGTGTGAACTTCTGTTTCTGCTGAATGAAAGAATTCTTAGGGACATGGGTATGTGTTGATTCCACAAAGTGAACCGTTTGAACTGCAATGCGTCAAAGACACTGAACAGAAATCATTAAACTTGTACACCATTCTTGAAGGGAACAATAACCCACCTTCTAACGAATGAGATGAATTGCTTGCGCTACAGAGATGTCAAGCTTCCAAAAGAATTTAAAAATCCTTGACTTTTTCCTAGTTGACTTTCGGAACACGTAATACATGGTCAGGGTAAATGTGAATGTTTTCGGTGCGCATGGATAATGGTAATAGTTTTAAAGCAATAATGATGCTTTTAAAGCTCTTAATTGAACCAAAGTGAACTAAAGTATGACATGCTAGACTTAAATGCTCTGCAGACCTATGGCAGCAATTATAGTCTGGAATCGTTCCATCGCACAACCAGCGTCTGGGAGAACGTATTAACCTTATGCAATCGCGAATGAATTGGACGAGTTGGACGATGGATAAGCGTCTCCCGCTAGTTACACGATCGGGCGATTGCAAACTATAAATTCAACCTAAAAAAAACAGAAAAGCAATACATTACGATAAAACTTACCAAATTCATCAAATATTCGTCGGCTGACATGACAGAACATGTGCTGTTCGCACTTGGATTTCAAAGACGCACTGATTTCACGCTCGATTGCCTTTCGTTTCTTTTCAGCCTTCAAAAAATTGATTGAAAAACAATTCAGTGGGAGACATCAACTCAGCAAAGTAATCGAATCATAAAAACCACACCTGCTTTTGAAGCTGAGCCTCAGACAGGACCTTTTTCTTCGGCACCTTCCTCTTTCTTTTCTCTGAAAACTTAAGCAAATTTATTAGAAACAAATTTTGAGAAAAGCTTATAAGCATGCACAAACCTCATCGTTCTTTTCATCATCACTGCACAGAGGTTCTTGAAACTCATTACTCACGGGCTCCAATACTTCGATAGGTGAAGGACGCCTGAAATGACACCGTAGTGGAGCTCTGAGGGCAGTTCATCATCTGTTACCTGTTCTCGGAAGATTTCGTCAAACTGATTATTTCCTCCACATCCAAGAGTCGCTCGTAACTATCCAATCTCATAATTTTGCCCATCTAAAATTGTGCGAGATATTATTGATTAAGGCCGGGAGGCGAGGCGGAGAAAATCGGGGTAGGAGAGGGGGGAGGAATTACTATGTAGGATAGCGTTGAGGATAAAGCTGCCAATGACCGCACGGCAAGCACCAGCAATTGAAAATTCTAAGAACTATACAGAAACACCTTGTACTCCTAGAATATCACTGCATTGTAATCGTTTTAAGCCTTTCAAAAAATTCTATCGTTTTTTGACTGTAGCGTTTGAACATCAATCGCACGCATTTCGAATTACACTTTTAACTGGAGTGAAACCCATTAGCAACGGGTTTACTCAATCCAGTTGTTCAAAATGCTGGAGCTATGGGGGCAATGAATTAAGCGATGGTCGTTTCGGCATTTTTGTTTCGAAGCATTGATCCTTAAGATAGCTGGTCTAGGTCTCGAAAAAGTGACACTCAATAGGCAAAAAGTCCATTTAGTAGGATCGTCGCAGCATCAACGCGTAGTCCTCAGCTGGTTCAACCTGTGCAGGGTTGGTTGCGAAGTGCGTCCAATCCACATATCGGGGATGAGTCGACCACTTTGGTGAGGAATACTGTGTAAATGTTCACGAGTTCTTGGTGTACTTCGACAACTGTCAAGAGTACTTTAGTAGAAGTAGAACTTTTTTCCACGGTGATATTCCGTCTGGTTCCGAAAAGCTAGCTAGCAGCTGACCTTATGGAAGTTACCTGACGTTTCTTCACTGAAGTTTAAGTTTTGCGAAGTTTATGGAACTTGGTCGTAGTCCATAAATTCAGCAAAGCTATAGGCTGCAGTAAAGAAAACCCCCTACATCGTATTCCGCAAACCGGTAGAAAAGTGAGTCGTTCTTCTAGGCTAACCTAAACAAGCCAGAAAACGAAGGACACACACGAAAATGGGGACCTGTGGCGGCAGGCCCTCCGGATTTTTCGGACTTTGCAGCTTTCCCCGTGGAACTGCCCACAAATAAGTTACGTCCTCCCTGAAAGCAGGCTTCCTAATAGTTCTTGTTACATCCTGTTTCCGTATTTCTTGTTACGTTCTATCTTCAATCAAGACATGGGCCTAGTTTGCAACGTCCGATGTCCGACCACCACTCTCATCATTTTCAAGGCTCTCGCCTTCGTTACAATAACATTTTTTAACTACTGCTTCTGAGCATATTTATTGCAAATCTAAGCCAAATGCATATTTAATATCTTTGTGCCGAATTAAACCATGCAGCCTGCTGTTTGAGTATACCGTATTCAAGAATGAAAAATAGAAAAGTTCCCAAAAAGCTATTTAGAACGGATTCAATTTGCTTATTGTGAGAAGCTGGCAAAAATAAGCACTCAGAAAGGAGGTGTCAAATAGCATAGAACTTTTTGAAGGATCTGACGTATCGAAGTAGCACATTTTAAGGGCTTTCTTGCGGTTCATTCACCTCATTTTTCAATGATGTAAGTCACATTTCGGGGCACACTCGCTGATTAGAGCTTTGGAATCCTCTCACGGACAAATCCCTATCACGAACGAGACTTCTGGGTCCATGATCACAGAGATACGCTCATTTCCTCGCCTCTAGATGCTTTTAAGAGCGGAAAAAGCAATTCTGAAAGAGAAAAGCCACAAAAGTCCGAGGACGTATGACTCAACCTAATGGATCGCATTAATTAATGATGCTTTTCAGAAACTGCGCTTAGGCACCCGACGGTTTGCGCCTATGCAGTGCTAGAATATTTCAGTTAGTCCTACCAAAGAAGTTAGAAAATATCGCAAAAGACTCACCGTAGTTACTAGGACCAGGTGCATCGGCAGCGATCCTCAGAGGAGACCTTCTCTTTGTTGTTGCCGCGCAAAAAGTCTCTTCTATGAATATAATGTCGTCGTCGTCATTGTCTAGCGACGACATATCTGTAAAAAGACCGAAATTATTGTAGACTTCGATGGCCCGTAGGATCTCCAATGATGTAATTCGGAATGCCTGGATGAGCGTCCACATGAGATTTTGATGCAAAACTGCAAAACTAGGGGAGGTGTCGCTAGACAGGAAGCGAAGAGACTAAAGGATCCAGCA